AGGTCATTCAGCCCTGTGTCGTTCCTACTTACCAATATAAAAACTATCCTGCTGCAAGAACGGTGATCAAGGTCAATAAATCACAATATGTCAAGTCATGTAAATTGACGATATTTTTGTCCAGATGTTCTCTACAGGCTGGTGAGGACGATATGCTGAGTCATGAGTGCGAATAGGCAAACACGTAATATCTGTACCTCGTTAGCCGCCCGTTGATGTCGCCGCCTCGGCCTCCTCCGCAGGAGCAGGCCGGCGTTGTGTAAGGAAGTGTTGACGAAAACTACAACAAATGGAACCCAAAGAGACTTTTATACTTTAGTTTATACATTACCGCTCCCAAAAGACCCGTGCAGTCACCCTTTGTTAAAAATATTACATTGGTGTCAGGTATTGTGCTTCGTTTCCACCCACGAGAAATGACGAATCCGAACCGGAGTGAAACGCAGACCGTCTGCTTAAATGCACAGAATCCCACCGCCAGTATTAGAACTTCTGCCCCTCTTTTGTTCCCACAAACCAAGACCAGTTCTTGGCAATGTTTTACAGGAAATTGCTAAATGCTTAGTAATTGAACAATTAGCTGTGTGGTTTAATTTAATAAGTAGGTATTTCTGGATAAATGGGCCATGTGTGGTTGCGGACATTTACCGACCATACCAGGCCGACTCGAGCTGCAGCAGCAAAACCCTGGGGGGGTTTAAATTGAGCAAGTGTGCGTTTCACCGACTGTCAACGCAACTTTTCATTAGCAGGAGGAAAAATGTGCTTTTTCATCTCTTAGAGGTCCCACAGTCTCACTTTTTAAGGCACGGCTGATCCACTGGGAGCAGTTTGTGTGACTTCTGGCGACTGAAGGTCACTATTTTTGTCAATCAGCGCTCTTGTCAGGCTGAGTTTCTTTTTTTTTCCAGCAATGCGAAGCTGTCAGCACCTTGAATTAACGAGGCGTGTAAGCCTCGAGAGGGACACTGTAGTCAAAAACAAGGTTGACAGTAAAAGGGCAGTATTTCGCCTAGAGCGCTTTAAGCAATGCGCTCCGTTTCAAGCTGAACACATTCCCGCAGTAATGTACAGAATCTGAAATCTCTGCGCTTTGGTTGAGGATTTAAACTGACTGAGATTAATGTCAACTTGAAATCCGGGTGTTTTTCTCCACATATTTCAGTGAAATAGCGAAGCGTGGTTTAGCGGAAGCAAAACGAACAATCCCACATCTCAAACTGCATTTAGATAAAAACGTCTCTCTCAACAATCACTGTTTAAGTACTAAACCTTGTGAACTTCCTGCCCATCTGAATGCCTTTAGTGTCATTATCACCAGTAATCGAGGGGCATCACCAAACGAATGGCTAAAACCACCTTAACAGTAAACTAATTATACTCTGGCTGATCTGTCCGCCGGCCGGCCGGTCTGCATTCGTTGCTCTAATCTGAAGTAATGAGGTCAGTAATAAGGTTTACGCTCTGTGACTGCTGGTGTGAGGTTTGCCTGTCCGTTGGCAGGGCAATGGAAGCCGGTTTGACGCCCTGCCGCAGCTCCACAATTTTGTAGCCCGCCACCATGCGAGTGCAAGAAGCCCCTGACTAGAGGCGTGATTACCCGAAACAACTCGAAGCGACCACGTGTGACTCGCTACGGTTCGCATATTAGGGTTGAAATTGCCAGACAGAGGGCGGGCAGACGGATAGATGTCGCCTTTGAAGGGGAAGGGAATGAAGAAAGCCGCGAACAAAGGAAAACCCAACAGGAGGCGAGGTCTTAAATCTCAGCGTGGTTGTACGTATGAATACACAAGCGTTAAATTCAACTGATTGCTCTGATTGGACCCTGATTCCCATAAAGCACCTCTAGCTGAGCTGGGACAAAACCAGAGCCGGTTGCCTTGACGACCCGTCTGGTAACCGAGTAGCCAATTAGTGCACAATGTCTCGTTTTCTCAGCCTGTATTCTTATGCACCTTGTAGAAACTTTTCGATCGGGGAGCCAGCCACGAGCACAGCGACGGCGGGATTTAAAGAGAAGTATCAAGGGGAATGTGACACATTTGCCCAAAATATACACGAATATGCCTCTGATACGCTGACCATGAAAGACGACGGACATTTTGGTTCAACTGAGATGTAGTGTGTGTGTGTGTGAGTGTACACCGAACAACTTTTGGTCATGTTTCATTTCACTGCTTCGTTTAGCCAAAATTCTATTTATAACAAACGTGTCCTCTTTTTCTAGCATGATTTAACAAAACCCGAACTGCTTTATCTCGAACAAAAGAGAATATTGACTTGACTGAAGGGGAAGAATCATTTTAAGTCGCAGAAAAGATGAGATCAATCTCTCTGCAAAATATGGCGCCCTGCAGGACGTTGCCTTGAGGTGGTCGTCGTCAATCCCCCTGATGTTTGATCCCTTCCATTACTGATTTGGATTGTGTTTTGCAATCCGACTAGGACGCTCAATGTTGTGAGTGCTTTTTACCAGCATAGAAAACGAGATGATTATGCCTGGACTTCTGGTACCAAGTACAGTAGAAAGGGATTATATTTACACATGTGTACCTCTAATGGAAGAACTAATCTATCTTAACTTCTTTAAGAAAGGGTCGAATCAAAACAAATCTACCACAGCGGCGGGATCTTACCGAGGCGCATTAATAAATGTTGCGTTGAGCCGGGACAAAGTCATCCCGCGCGTCACAGGCAATCAGTGAGGGGGCTCATTGCCCAACGTGACGGGGGACGAGGGCCTTTTGTGTTCGGAAACCCAAACGTGTAACTCATTGATTGAGTCGCTGCCGTGTAATTTCATTGCCGCGCTTCAGGACGAGGAGGGCAACGCCTGATGCGGCGTCTCCATTATGTACCTCGCCCATTCCACGGCCCCCTGATAGCCTCTGTGTGCGGGGGGGACAAATCAAGCAGGCATCACCCCTGAAGAAATGAGATGTTAATGTGACAGATTTGTTGCCGGCAACTTATTTGTGACTCACCCCGTTGGACATAGTTCCGGAGTAGGAAGTGAGTTATGACTCATGGTGCGTTTGGCTCAAATCTGATATCGCTGTATGTGTGTGTGTGTGTGTGTGTGATTTTTATTTATATATATATATATATATATATATATATATATATATGTATGAGACATGTGGTTTACATTTTGTACTAACTTTTCACTTACAAGTGCCTTGTTATGTTAAGTGTTTGATTGTAAAAAAATGTTTGTGTGTATATAATTATATCTCTGCATCTGCTCATATGTGACGCACAAGACCTCACTGTGATGATTTCCAAGATATCAAGCGGAAGTCCTTGGTAATAGTAATATTATGACTGTTTAAAGGAGTGAAACTGTTTTCATACCTTCTGAGCAACTTTCCCGATACTGATCATGAGCAAAACGTTGCATTTAGAAAATCTGCACGTTCCAACATCTGAATCAATGCAATTGATCGCAGCGGATGCAACATTTTGTTCTTTCAGCGTCTGGCTGAACCCCCGGAGCTCCCAGGGAGCCGCGTTGACCTCTGACCTGGACGGACCAGGCAAAGATGGTGTTTCACAGCAGGCATCGATGAAGCATCTCACGTCGGCTGCTGTGAGTAAACTAGGGGAGATAAAGGTCAGACCCCTCTAAAGAACACTTGCATTCACCCAAGAATCGACCGCCAACAGGGGGGGGGTTGGAGGGGACAACCACCACGAGGCCCAGATTTGGTCCCCATCTTTAGAGATGGAAGCCAGCTAACGTCCCTGCAATCAGCCTGGAACGGAGATCAAGTCGCCGCGTGCGGGTTGTTTTGACTGTATCGAGCTGACAGGTGTTGACAGGAGTGCTGATGACTCGCCCGATGCAGCCTCCGAGGGCCGCCGTGTCAAAAAAATAGGGGTTGAAGCAAGTTGGACGGCTGCCTCTGAGGAGAACCAATGGACGGTACCCCCCCCCCCCCCCACCCCCGCTTTAACTAGCTAGCATACGGAGATTTGCTCTCTGGGCCAAGTACAAAGGCAGATTGGCCGGCACACCTCAGAGGACCCTGTCTGCTTAAGTGATTTACTCCAATAAGCTTGGCTGTATTGGTTCTGTAATTACAGGACACGGACTGGGGGGAGGGAGGGGTGTTGGCGATCCGTGTTGCTCATGGGCGTGTCAGAGGCTCTGGCCGCCGCGCACGCCAATAAGAACAGACCCAAATGGAGAGCCGGGGAGAGAACGGTGAGAGAAGAACAGTCCGGTTACCCTTTGACTTGCCTCCAGGAAGGAGCTCAGCGGCTCTAATCGACCGACGCCTCTCGGGTTTTGCCCATAAATTGAGGGAAACGGATGTCGGTTCCCTCTCTGCTCATAGACCAACCAATTAACGACCGGCCGTTTGAATTACACTCAGGATTCTGTGTCATGACCTCGTCTTTATGACTAAATACTGCTCAGTCGTTTTGTTTTGTTAATCTGCCTCATTTATTTAGTTGTCAACCAACCGAGTGAGTGAATTGATGATTGGATGAATGACTCCATGTTAACAACCCCGTGTTTGTCAGTAAACACCAAAACAAGCACACAAAGGGGGGGGGGGGGTGATTAAGTAAGGGAGTCAGGGAATGAGTGTAAATGAAGGAGTGAACGAACTCAAATGAGTGGACAATTGAGTAAGTGGATAAGATTGAGTGAGGGAATGAGAAAGTGAGTAAACAGGTTGCTAAATAGGGAGTGAGCAAAGTGTGAGTGAATAAGGGTGATTGAATCACTGAATAAGTGAGTGAGTGAGGAGATGTGCAAGTGAATACGTGAAGCAGGGTAAAGGTGAGTGAACGAGGGAATAGGAGGGAGGGAGTGACTTAATATGGACTATTGGAAAAATGATCTGTGGCAGGAAAGTGAATGACAGAAATGAACGGGTGAGTTAGTGACTAAATGAGTTGAGTGAACGTCTTCAAACTGAATAAGTGGATCCTCTCGTGAAAATATGAACAAGTTAATGAGTTGAGATCCATTGGTATCCTCTCACCTTTTGTTCTTTTGGGCACTCTTCTTGTCCCGCTTGTTCATCACCACGGGCACGCAGCTGGTGAGCTCGGTCCAGTCGGCGTGCAGCCCGCAGCTCCAGCCGGTGGAGAACCGGGAGAAGAGCCACGACTCTGCTCTGCCGGGCCGGTGACAGGTGCACTTCCTCTGGCCGGACATGCAGTCGCACGGCCGCTCCAGCTGGATGTTCTTCACCAGGTGGCGGCCGAACGTCGTGCCGCCGGTCTTCTGGATGTGGAGGAACACCATCACGTCGTCTCCCCGGATGTTGAAGTCGACGTGCCGGTCCAGGTCTCGCGCCGTGAAGTTAAATTTGGAGGTGATTCTGGAGGGCAGGTCCTCGTCCGCCTCCGGCTCCGTGAAAACTAACTCGAAACCGGACGCGTAGCGCTGGTAAAGCCCCCTGTCAGCGCCTCGGAGGTGGCAGGTGTTCCTGTCCGCCGGGCACACGTACTGGTAGCCGATCATCAGGAAGAGCACCGCCGCGACGGGGATGAACATGAGTCTGTTGAACTTCTCCTCCATGGTTTGGAGACCGGGGATCACGCCGGTGACGTGGTGTCGCGCTCCCCTTCGCCTCCGCTCATCCTGCCGGCTCACTTTAAAACGCGCGGCTCTCCTATCGGGCTCTCCGAAGGGGGGGTCCCCACTTGTCAAACTTGAGCCCGTCTCACCGTGCGCTTGCAACCAATGAGATTATTTCCTAAATCATTCACGCCTCGCTTTTCCCCCCCCCCCCGTGGTGATGTCACACCCGTGGCACAGCTCGCGTGCAAAACGACACCTTTTCAGTGAAAGACGTCAGCGCAGAGCGGCACATTCGGGCTCGGCCGTCCTGCCAGAGCCGACTGCTGATCCGCGTCTGCGCCAGGAGCACCGCGCGCGAGGCGGCACGGGATGACCACGGTCACTTCCGCTAGATCCTTTCAAAATAAGACCTCTACGAACCCGTTGCGACGTTGGACTGCGTTAAGTGGGAATAGGGGAAGCTCTAATTAGAAGATAGAGTCTGTTCAATCGGAAAACAACAGGAGTGGATTGTCCGAAGAACGCTTTGGCTTCAGTGTTTTTCTCACAATAAGACTACACGATTTGGTTAAAATACCAATTTTTACTTGACAGCATTATTTTCATCTTACCTCCTGCATGGTAACCGGCAAAACATCTCAAGAATCAGGCCAGAAGCCCTTATTGTTGGTTATTTTTGCTGGTTCTTATTGTTTGCAGCAGCCCATTGAAGCAAGAAACAAGACAATGCATCATTCAAACTGTTTGCATCAGGAGTAATGACCCCATACAGCAGACCAGCACATCACCCCGTAAACGAAAGGAGAAACTATTTGCCAAAACCTGTTGGGAGTTGGAATTCAACTTTTTTGCGCACAGCCTTTCTTTTATTTTGAAGAAAAACAAGAAAGTTAATTTCCGTTTTTGTTGTGGGTGGCTTGACTCTACATCTGTGCCGGTCATCTGTCCCGGGTGCCGACGCAGTGACGCAACCGCATCTCTAATCACACACACTGGGAACCTGAGCGGCCCAGAACGACTGCTGGCGGAAAAACCACTGATTCCACTGGTATCGGAAACGCATATGACTTAAAGCGGGACTGAATATAAACAACCGGGTTTTATAGGCACGTTCAGCTTTTATTGCTTTACACACTTGTCACATATTCACCTTTTGGTATTACACAGTGGACTTTTAAAGTATCAAACACAACCGTCTGTTTTCCACACACAGTGTCATTTGAACAATTAAGCGCTCGGGCACTTTTTTGCACGGACCAGCGTATCTGCTCAGCACCAGGTCCCGGGACATGGCTTTGATACATCGATATAGTTTTATGCGTTTGGTAGATGATTGCACGAGGCTCCCCGCAGTGTGAAAACTGTCACTGCAGTTATACAGTGCGGCTGGCAGCAAAGAGTTAAAAACCTCAGGCGAGCGCGAGTCATTTCAGCACCATGGACAGCTCTCAACACGTCGAGTCAATAATTGGCATCACATGTTCTGTGTGTGTGTGGATGGATGGAGCGCGCGCGCGCGCACACACACACACACACACACACGTGTGTGTGCGCGCGCTCCATCCATCCAGGTTTTCCTATGGAGACCAACGGCATCAACACGTGACGCAGTTGAATCCACGGTATTGTAGGACACGCCGAACTAAAGGCAGTAAGCCTCCACAGTAATGGATTTCATGTAAGCCCTTTATGATCAAAAGCTATTGTTATTTTAGCCTTAAACACCCTCCATCAACGGATTTAACCAGCATGCACTCTGGTGCAAACATTCAAACATTCTTTCAATCCCCTTCCTGCACTCTGCCCTCTTGCTTATACGTTGACTTAATCTGCATTGGACTGTAGCTTGCGGCTCACCTCTCCTTGTGTCTCAGAGGAGTCTGCCATCTCTTAGCCTGAGGGGGGAGGGGGAGCATGACAGGAATCTGTTATGGAACTAAGTGTCAGCACAATACATATCTCATTCTCTGAAAGGTCATGCAGAAGACAACTCCTGCACATTGTTTTTGGTGCCTCAGTGATGATAACATCCACTGGCACCAGGCTCTTTATCTGCAAGGCCTTCCCTAGATGTTTGATGGGGAAACAGGCCTCGTTTTTGTAAAAGAACCTTCTCCATAGCCGGAGGGCGGTCTGATTGAAACCTGATCAGAATCTCTGATTGGGAGAGGGAAGTTCTGAATTAATGTCTTGTGCGAAGGAGCGAGACTTGTGCTGTTTTGTCTGTGCAGTTGAGATATTTACGAGGTGCCTGACGCTCACTGTACATAAGTCTTATGAGAAATGACCCGGTAAAGTGCTGACTCAGCCGGCTGCAGCAATGTACTAGGGCCCCATATAATGGAACTGAAGCCTTTTCTATATTTACAGCAATCCCCCGGTCCGGATAAAGCTGCGAATGTGCAGGTATTTTTAAGTATTTCCTGTAAATTGGTGTAGATTTTTTAAATGATGTTGAGGGACCTTCACGTTTCGGACCTATGGAGAGCCATTAAATAATCAGCCAGAGACTCTATTAAGGAAAGCAGATAGAAATGGGGAAGAATTGCTGCAAGAAAAAAATGGAAACATTTAAGGCGGGGAAAGTGTTGGGTACCACAGAATGAAAAATGATCCCAAAAGTCACCAGCCTCAAGATACATCCACCTTTTGCTGCAGGTCCAGAGTGGAATATAAATGAAGGTAAAGAAGCACAACGTGTGGGAGATGATACAAAAGGAACCATGTTAATAGTGCAGAAACACAGCCTTTTTTTGGGGGGGGGGATTAGACAAGGCATACAAACGGTTAAACGCGACAAAAATCTGCAACCGAGACCGCCCGCATTATTATCAGATCCACAGGTGGATGCTGTGCACGTGTGAAAACGAAGCCTTCAGGCATGCAGATGTGCTCTGTGCAAGCTGTCATTTCTGGAATGTGTGCAGATGGCACCGCCACACGCTGCCATGGCGACGTCTGCTCCTTCGGCCACCCCTGCCTCGTCTTCCTCCTGCTCATGCTCAGTGTTCCCGCGCCAGCTGACTCGTTCCTGTCCCGTCACACTCCTGTCACGCCTCGCTCACTAATGCCACGGGTCACCCCGTCGCCCCCCCGCTGCCCATGCTGCCGCTCTCCGCCTCTGGGAAATCACATGCTTTGGTTTGTCAGGTGTACTGGCTAATTTCCGTTGTGTACATGTGAGAGATGCCTCTTCTGTCTCAGATAGTTTGGTGGCTGCTGCTGGGGTTTGTTTCCTCTTGCTGATCGTTACCATGGCCGCTGCTTTCAGACCTACCGTGGGGTGGGAATGCCTCACAGTGCCATGTCTGCATGAACAGTAGCAGCGCCCTATCTATGTTAATAAGCATTGGTTGAATTGGCCTGAAGAATTTTTAAGTTCCTTGTAAAAACAGAAAGAAACACACTACTCTTTGAAAATATTTCACAAAGTGCTTCACCGAGAAAACAGATGTCCTTTTAGCTGATACTTTTATCCAAAGCAACAAGGAGGTACAATTTCTTCAAAGAAAGCAAAACTACAACGTGCTATAAGCAAAGCGCTCATCCATATATAGTGGGAAGAGGTGTTAATTTGTAGAGACTTTCTGCTGTCCTCATGAGGAACTCATTCCACCATTTAAGAGCCAGGACATTTTTTGAGTGTTTAACACTTCGGTGGGGGGGCAGCATTAATAGATTGTGACTTCATCTAAAAATGTACCCCCATTACGCTAAATAACATTTTGTCTGTCCATTTCTGGGTCCAGTTGTCTCCAACGGTTAAACGCGCTATCGAGTTCTCCATTTCCATCAATGTCTATTTAGCTCTATGCTAAATTCACTTAGGTTACTGTTATATTCATATTGGAAGTCGTGTTTCCACAAAACAAGGTTATGGATGGCTGTTTATCCAGTTGTTCTTTGATACTTTGATAGAAGGTTGTGTGGCTTTTCTGTATCGACCTCCATCACAAAGTCCATTTAAAACTAAACATCTCAGCAATCCCAACTTTGTAGAAGTGTACTTTCTCCATTTGCTGAATTGAATGCTACAGGTTTAAAATCATATTATTTAATGCCACAGAGCATCTTTGGTTTCCGTGAAACGGATAGCTCTGCTTCTCTGCTTCCAGGGATCCACCAGCGGGGCATGAACCTTGCTGCTGTGCCGGCACCGCAGCCACCATCCAAAGCGCTTAATCAAAAGGGACACCCTCTCTGCTTGGGCCCGCAGGAAAAGGAAGATGTCGGCCCACGCACCGGGGCAGAGAACAGCCCAGATTTGTCTGCACACCACCAGCTCGCGATGACATCGGAGAGGAGGCCTGCATACCAATCTGCATTTTCTAGCAGGTAATTGAAGCTTTGGGGTTGATGGGAATGTGTCTTGCCGGCGGCCTGATCAGCTTCCCCGTCTTTACCATCAGCACTGACGGATGTTTACTGCACCCTCGTAACGGGACCAGTCTCTTCCAGCAGTTGATTGAAGCCGCTGAATGAATGTCAGAGGGGGAATTACTATAATTTCTCTCGTCAAGCTTTATCATCGCATGTGCCCCAATATTATGGTCACCTTTTCCTCCTCGCGCTCATTAAGTCGCTGCTATGTTATTTCATTGCCAAGCACAGCACACTTATGTATTCTTCAATTCTACTTCTGAGTACTCCTCTTTCAAATTACGTCAATGCGTCAAATTGTGGAAACCATTTAAGACTTATTCTTCAGATGGCGGTGCAATGACAGTCAAACCCTGTTCGACACTCATTGCACTAGTCTATCAAACTTGCAATGAAACCATCATCGTACATGCAGTTTCTTTTGAGGATTCCACCTGAGAACAAATATGACCATGCAGCCTGCACTGTTGAGGGAGAAAGTGGAACTAAAGACACATTTCCATTAGAAAAGCTGGGGTTGATCTCTCCTTCCTGGGACCAGTATCTTGGACCACCTCAGCCGATATTAGAAGACGGAGTAAAACACTGCAGGTCCCTGATTCGTCAGACAGGCGTCCTGCACAAAGCTGCTATTTTGAAATAGTCCAGTTTGTGTCAGTCAACACATCGTTAAAGTTCCTGTAACATTTCTCAGACACAGACTGACCAGTAGCTTAGCGTCAGCCAGCTCTGACCAACAGATAATTGGCTCTCTTTTCTTTAATTGTTTTACATTTTTTTCATTTCTGACTGATTTTGTTTGGATTTGGATCTCGTCCCTGTTAGATGATGCATAAGAGTGAAGCGCGTTAGGTTTGAATGCAATGACGTAGGGTGCAATGAAGTTGGGTGGTTCCCCAATCGTCTTCAGTCTAGCCTGCTGGGTGTTGTCGTGGTTCTCAATAGGATTTTAGCTTCCGTCTTTTTCTATTCATCCTTTTTCCCCCTGCTGTATCAATTTCACGTCCTTTAAACGCATAATGTGGACCAAATCTGCCTGCTTCTCTCCGAAATTTCTGCTTTTAGTTTGTCCAACAATTGAATAATAGTTATCACGGAATGCAGGTAGTGAGCGTTTGGGCTCCATCGGGCGACAGCTTGAGGAACAGCCGGGTGAGGCTTTTTTAATATGTAGAGGTCTTAAGCTTTATGCTTTAGAGGTCTAAAGCTTTATGCATCAAAGTTGGAAGGGGGCAGACTGGCTTGTGGGCCTTGGCTTTTGTTTTTCTTTGTAGACCTAGTTTCAAACTTTATATTAAATGCCAAAATTGCTTCCCCTGACGCAAAGTAAGATAAAGAAAAGAAGAAGGTTCTGTAATGACAGGGATTGACTGGTAGAGATTAATTTCTCACGGTAAGTCAATGTTACGCGGGCTGATTCAGAAGCAGCTTTATTTCTGGTTGTCCCAAGGACTAATGTAATGCAACAAATAAAGGAATTAATATTCAGATTTATGAAGGAATAAGAAGTCACAGGCAAGAGAACCTAGTCAGTAAATATCTTTTAATTGGATTTCTTCAACGTTTCAAACCCATTTCTCATACTGAGGGATATATTGTGGTCAAAACGGTTAAACGCTGCATTTAAAATGTGATTATTGATGTGAGTGAACTTCAGTCGGATCAACCCAAATGGATTCTGCCTTTGTTACCATGTTCAGTACCTTTCCAGCGACTAAGATATCCACCAAAGCAGTAATGTAGAATTGATCAGAAGGTTTGATGAGGTAAAAGTGCTCTGAAGATGTCTGGACAGGGTTTTTTAATTGTGTAAAATCCCCTTTTTTAAAAGTCCAATATTTGACTGCAGGATGAAAGAGGTTAATCAGTCAGTCATCTTCTATACTGCTTGTCCTTAGAGGGTGGCGGGGGGTAGTTAAGTAGTTAATCCCAGCTGGCATTGGGTGGGCGACTGTCCACCCTGGAATAGTTCAGTCAATCGCAGGACTGAGATAAAGACAAACAACCATTCCTACACTTACAGGCAATTTTGGAGCTACAAATTGACCTAACCTGCATGTCTTTGGACAGTGGGAGCGAACCAGAGTACCCGGAGCAGGCAAGGCGAGAACATTCAAAGGCCGCTGGGCGGGTTTGTACCCAGAGTCTGCTTCCTGTGAGGCGACAGTGCTGACCACCAAAAGTTTGATAATAACGGTGTCAATTCCAATTTATTACAAACATAACTTTTATGTATCACATTAACAAGTTTCTTTATTAATGGAGGCTAATTTGACCAAAATAGTGCACAATAACTGAATGTTTTGACACATTCTTTGTTCCCATGAGTTGCGAGGAGACGGGCTTCAAAGGGATCCTTTGATTTTTTTTGCAATCCAGACCCTTTGGCCTGTGAGGCAGGTTTTGGGAAGCTGCTTAAGTAACCGCATCACACAACCAAACATCGGCGCCTCAAGCATTGAAAAGGCCGCGCGAGACCGGGGACAAGTGGATTACTTCTCCTGGAGTAAACGCGCATAAAAGCACGTGGCCGAGTGAGAACGCGGGTCTCCGTTGACGATAACGTAACCTGCGACGACGCCAATAAAAGACTCACGTTTCCGAGACAAGAAGTGACCACATGGGTTCAGAGCAGAATCGAGGGTGGTGCTGCTGCTGGTGGTGCTGGTGCTGCTGCTGGTGGTGGTGGTGGTGGGGGGTCGGTAGGATGTTCATGTGATGAATATCTTGACCTTGTTTCCTAAACGTCCGCAGCTCCCTGCCTCATTGATGCGGGCAAGAGTCCAAAAGCCCCCGCAGTGCCGCGCCGAGAGAGACGCATCTGCGGGACGGATGTGCGGGTGAATCGCAAACATTCTAGCACTTTTTTTCCGGGATGGCGTCCAGCGGCAGGGGTTATTTTTTGCCGGCAATTGACCGATTGCTCTGGCGTCTGGTTTCCAGAGAACTGACCTTCTCTCTACCTCTTAAATATTCATGCCACGTTGTTGTGGAGGCCCGAGCTCAGGATAAATGAATACGAGATGTGCAGTCTGGTATTCACGGAGAGGAGATCTTGGCCGGGATTCAGGAGACACCAGTCGTTTTTTTTGTTGTTTTTTTTAGAAATGGCTGTGATCCACTGCTAAGATGTGTATTGCGGCCATCTGGTGAAGTTACAGAATCCCAGAAAAGCCTGAGTCGCCCACTGCCGCGCTCCCATCCTCTGGCCGACTGCTTAGAAACGCGCCGCGCATTTGTGGATTTTCTCCCGAGGATCACAGCGGGCCTAATGTACGACCTAAGAAGATTGTTCTGTAAGCCTCGAAAGAACGCGTCTGATAGAAAAACCCGGGGCCGTTATCCTTGTGGCCAAAGCTCTCCAAAGCGCGGCGCACCCTTCCTGTCGTTTAAAACACGTGTTTGCGATAACATCACCCCCCCCCCCTCCCTCCCTCCCTCCCTCCACACCCCCCCTTGCCCTCCAGAGGGAATCCCGAGCATCTCTAAATGTCACGTTAAGTGCTTCTATTGTCCCGCGCTGATATAGAAAACCGTCCAAGCTGTCGTAAGTAACATTTGACCCTCTAATGGAGGGCCGACAAAAAGGAAGGGGCCAAGGCTTCAACCGGCGGCCCCAACTCCATTTTAAGGGATTCGGTCGATTCGTCACGTCTGCTCCAACGGTTGGTGTCTCCATTATTGCCGAAATAGCATTAATGAGCTCAAAAAGCAGCTCACTAATAGTCCTGTAAATTAACACTGGAGAAATTTAATTACACCCTTCAGATGCGGCGGTGTGGAAATTCTCTCTCTAAATGCTAATGTCAAAAACAAGGTGCTGTTTTTTTAGCTGCCTGATGAAGTGTGAAAAAATAATTGAGATGGCTCCTAGTTGGTTTCATGTTAATAACGGCTTCAACGTTGTTGTTTTTATCCTTTATTCACTTCACACACCAGGAACACTAACGACTAAGTCAGTTCACTCTGTCAGTACGGCTCGCATGGGAAAATGCTGGCAGATTAACCCTTTATCTCGTAACTCCATGTAATGGGTGACGTAAAATACGAAAGTTCATGTTCATGTTTGTCACCTTTTGTCACTCCATTTTATTTCCACGGCGACACTTTGGATTGTGTATATATATGTATTTTATATATATATATATATATATATATATGAGATGTCGGTGAGTCTTTCTCTCCCCGCCGCGGTGCGCTCTTTCATCTCTCCCTCCCACTCGGCTGATTCACAGCTTGTGACCCCACGCGGCGGCCTCGTTGAAAATAGACAACAGAGTGTCTGAGATGAAAACCGGCAGGTAGCCGTGGGCTGGACACCCTACAAGTCGGTCGGGGCTGCCGCTTCCACTCGGCCTGTATATCCGGGGCCTGTCGTCCACCCCCACCTGCAGGAGTTATCAAACACAAGCCGCCTTATGGAAGGCTTTAGATGCCTTAACACTAAATACATGTGGAAACAAATCACACCTTTTTTTTTCTTTCTACGGTTAATGGACAATTGCTTTGCTCCTTCAACATAAATGTGGGACTCTGCCGCGATAAAAACAACTCTCAAACATAAATCGGTAATAAGTGGCCAAAGTCACCTATTGGTTCACGGCCTTTTGAAGCCTGGAGTTCAGCGCTATCTCAGTCGCCATCTTGGGTTACGACGGTCGCCTTGTTTTTTTTTAACAGAGGTTTCTTTATTTGGAATGTGCAGCGGGGACGTAAAGGTGTCGTATGTATGCCAATTTTATCGGCAGCAACCTGTCAATCCCAGTAAGCCCGCCCTAAAGTCTAACCCCCTTCATGGTGTTGTAGGAATTTAAGCATAACAACACGCCTGGTGGTAGAAATTGTAATATGTGTGATAATGACTAGTGTTAGAATCGTGGTAGAATAGTTTGTGTGTTACTTATTAACTGCAACATGAATTAAAGTACAATCTATACAAGTAATTTAATTACTGTACACATGGCATCCAGCCACAATGTAAAGTTAAAGCCTGGGGGAAGGACACTCAAACCTTCCTTTTAAGGATTTATTCTACATTTTCTTAAAATATTACATAACGCACTCTTCATAAACAGATCTCAGAGTGCGACAGAGCCAGCAAAACATAGTTGCCACACAGTAAAAATGAAGTAGAAGCTCATGAGTAAAAAACGCCTCCCTGAATAGGCTGTTTTAAGAGTCCAGTGATCTTAGGCGGTCATGGAGACCATATTTGTGGCGCTGCCGAGCAAAAGGCCCGGTTGCCCATTGTTTGGGAGCTTGGTTTTGGGGACCCAGAAGAGCGAGTTGCTTGCAGATCTGAGGATGCGGGTGGAGGTTCTTGCAGATGGGGAGGTGCATGTCCATTTGTGCATTTATGTGTGTGATCCAATGAGGGTTTTTTTCTCCTGTCAGGCCGTTTGAGCAGAGGATGTAGGAAAGCCCTGCGAGTCAATTGTATTTGGACCATATCAAATTAATGAAACATAATGGTTAAGAGCTTATGAAACGTGATGGTTTAAGATGTGTTATTATTAGTGTATTAGCTATTAGCATGCATAATATTATCATCATCATCTGTCATGTTTACACAAAGAGGCTTTAGGTCAAAAACTGAATATATTGTAATATTAACTGAATAGGGATTGGTCAGGTCAGTGAGGGATTTCAGATTCAGTCATAAAATGCTTGTAGGGAGATGTAAGGGAAGATGCAAAATATTTTATTATTCACACTGTATTTTCACTTTAATTGTATTCCTTTGTTAGTTATTGAATTATTTTCCCTTTTTAAACTTAAGTCAGTTGATTCTTTTGTAGAATCAGCATCTTGTCCCGCAGCTGAACCTGATGCATCGGATGAGAGCTGCCCGTCTTCCCCCGAGGGGGAGAAGAGCCCCCCTCTCTCCTCGTAAGCCTCAGGCTATCCTTACAGTCCCGGAGCCCCGTCCAGAGGAATAAGGATCCCTATTTATCGGGTCTCGACGGAAGCCGCCGGGGGACCGGCCCGGAGGAACCGTCCCACAGCCGGCCGGCCTCCAGCGGGACTTTGAGGAAGAGTTCAATGTGCACATAGGCAGCATTTTCTGTGATAGGGACTGAGTGTGAGTGCCGGGGCGGGCGGGAGACATCACTTCTCCACAAGGAAGCCACAGCGTTCGATCAGATCTCTACTGACCTCCGTTGGTGGAATAATGAAGTTGTTGCAGAGCGACTGGCGCAGGCGGAGGGAAACTAATGCAATCTTTACTGTGCTGCATTTAACTTGTCTTCCGGGTTAAGATTTGACACCAATTTTTTATATAGAGGTTCCTTACTGTATAAAAAAGTAGAATAAACGCCTGGCCGGTGTAATCCCCCAACGACCAGTCACAGTCTGTCCAAAATGTCATCACTTAATTTCATCCTACAAGAAATTTGTGGGAAATTGTCCCAATTGACATATGAATTTTTGAAATCTTGTTTTTGGGAAGTCTGTTACTGTGTGATCCTGCAATCCACAGTTCCTGCCACTCTCCAGGCAGGCCACAGCTATCACCAGCTGTGAGGGGCTCCATGTCCTGTTTCATGTTGTGTTTCAGTCAATTCGACAAAGATCTTCAATTTTAATTTCAATTTCAATAGAGGCCCAAATGAGGTGAAAGGATCACATATTTTACAAAAAAAAGTTGAGGCTAGATGTCATTTCGAAAGGCCACGTTTTGTTTTGCAGTGGAACCTTCTGCACCACCCCCACAAGTGGTACATTAGAAAGCGACCACCAACCAATTTCCCAACAGCTGGTTGGGCCTCAAAGGAAAATGAGTTAATGTGCCGGTTTTGACCACGAGGGGGCGCCCTGACACAAGACCACCGCGCACGCTGTCCCGCAAAGTTGTCGATATCATCACCCGCATCCCTCAACATATGGAGGATTATTTAAAGATTTAACCACAATTTACTCTGCCTCCTTCGCTTCAGTCGTGTTTTACTCGTGTTTTCCACCGGCTGCCGCGAGGACCGTTGACTCCCCGTTCTCCCCCCCCTTTATCCTCGATGCCAGACTCCCCGTTTCAAAGCGTCTCCCCTCCCCCTCCCCACTGCGAGCTGGGTCAAGTTGCCACAACAACACCGGAAGTGAGGAGCTGTGCCTGAAACGGGCTCCACGTTGAAGAACACATAATGGTCTGTACCAAAGGTTTATCTGCAGTCCGGAATATTAAAATGACCATACGAATGTTTGCGTTTAATGCAGTTTAAATTTAGTTATTTTCGTTGTTTTTTTCATTTCACAATCCCGCTAGCAGTCTTTACTTTGAAGGTGAATACCGGAAGTTGATCTTAAGTACCTGCAGCTTGATGGTGATATTTTCTTTTTTTTTTTTCCCTCAAACTGGGATTTAGGAATGTGGAGCCCGGCGGCTACGTCACCCACAGATGTCCCGGGGTACCGACTGTAGAAAACTTTCCCGAGGAATTAGCAACACGAACCCTCTTGTAAGTTTACATTAACGAAGCCCGCCAATATACAGTACTCAACATTTAATATCGTTAATTGTTAGTGAAGCACGTTAAGGTCCGTTTCAGTTCGGGTGTCTGAAGATTCCACGTTGACTAAAGAAATGTCCGTTAGCCATGTTGGGTACGAAATGTGCTGAGGAGGCCTTAATTGGAGTGAATGTTTTGTTCTTAAAGGTGACGTTGAGGCCCTAAGGAGACGTATTTAGTGTCGCGTAGACAAGTTCAAACCTGTGTGCCGTTGCTTCGGTCCGGGTCAAGCGAGGGGATAAACCATAAAGAAGAAGCCTGCCCCGACGTGCAGTGTTTCGGAAACGTGACGCCGAAAGATTAGCCGAGTTTTCGCCGCAACTAAACCAGAAACCGTTTTAAACGGAACCCCCCCCCCTTGTTCCCACGCGCAGGTAAATCACGTCGTGTCTGTCTCTCTCCCGCCGGACGGACACTGTGGGGGAAACATTGCAGCCCGTGTTGTGATAACATGTCCCCCCCCCCCCCCCTCTTGTCTCCCTCCTTCCTCCCCCAGGGACGCGTTTTTCTGTCTCCATTGTAACGCGGCGAACACACAGGCTCGGCGTCGTCCCGTAAAGCTCCGGACCGAGCCACCGAACGAAGGGGGGTGGGGGGGGACCAGTATGAACGACTGGGTGTCTATTCCTCCTTTCCCGCAGAAGTTGGCAGGCAGCCCATAAGTAAAAGATATACCTCTGTACCCGCTCTTGGGGAGATGGAACCGGCCGTCTGTGCTCCGTGGTTTTAACTCGCCATGGCAGATGCAGCCCCCCCCCCCCCCCCCTTCCTGTCTCGTACAGAAAGTGAAGCTGATGTTGAGATCCATGTGATGTATTGAGGCTTCTTTTGTTCCAGCCGTTTCACGACGGAGCGGAATACCCGTACACCAACGAAACCCAGGGGAACCGCTCATCGGCAGGGATCCCGTCCCTGCTGGAATCCCCGCTCAGCCAGCCCCCCGCGCCCGGGATGACCCCGTCCGGCGGCGCCTCCGTCGCGCTCCCGTTCAAGTTCCGCCCGCGGCGGGAGAGCGTGGACTGGCGGCGGATCCACGCCGTGGACGTAGACCTGGTGGTGAGCCAGCTGGACCTGGACGCCCTGGAGGAACACATCGGCAGCGGTCTCCTTCTGCAGGCTGGAGGGCGAGCGGTGCCCGCGGTGCCACAGACCCGTGGACCCGGGTCTGGTGAAGCTCCTGCGGGTTGCCCAGTTTAGGGGTGAGAGGCTCCTCCACTGTCAGGAGTTTCCTCGCCCAACAAGTGGTGCGTGGGGTAAGAAGAGCTGGCGGCCGCCGGCAAGAAACCCCAACCGCTGCTGGCCCAGCAAAAGCGCAAAGGAGAAAAGGAAAAAGCGCTTACCGCCCGAGCTCAAGAAGAGAAAAATATTCTTCCGGCTCCCGCAGTCCTAGCTCCGCGCCCCGGACCCCCAGGGGGCTAAAAGGGACCGCTGCCACGCTATACTTCGCTCTCCAGGTGGGTTTTGGAGGGGGAGGGGGGGGGGGATCTGCTGCCATTGGCACTTCTGTTTGGCATAGGGCAGCTAGATCAGTCACCCCAGCCCCCTCCTCCTTGGGGCCCCGTGCACTCTGTCATTGTTCCCTGGGTCTATTCACAGCTCCGGCTTTGTGCTTTTCATCTCGGGGGTTTGGAGGGAAAAAGGAGATTTCATTGAAGGTGGTTGTGTGCTGTAAAAGCTGCCATGGCCGCCGTGTTTTGGTTTGGTTTGTAACGCGCTTTGTGTTCCAGGCTGGAAGGATAGGATTCAGAGCTGCTGAACAGATGGTGTCATATGGTGGCAATTAGCATGTTTTTAATCCACTTACAAAAGGGCGAGGAGCCGTAATCAAGACGACCTGCTGACTCCCACCTCCCCCACCCTCACCCACACACTCTGTCGGGTCCATTCGTTCGTAAAGGTTACCCGCATCGGTGGCGGAGTTATTTATAGCACATGTCAAAAATCCCCCTTTGCGCGTCCGAGTCTACGGCTGACGTTGACCCAGCCAAGCGGTTGCCACGGTAACGGCCGTGGTGTGTCTTGACGGCGTGTGGTTGCCAGGTGTGCGATAGCAGCTCGGCTAACAGAGGCGGCTCAATAATTGATAGAGAGGCGATGTGTTTGTCTTCCTTGAGGACCTTTGGTGTTTACTGCTTGACACCGTCCGCCGCACCGAACTCTCACGCAGGGCTCCTCCTCCGCGAAGGCACATTTCATTCCAATTTCAACATCCACGGTTTTTCCAAACCCCGCTGTAATGGCAGCACTTGTTGACCCACTCATTGTAGCAGCACACTTCCACCCGCCCGTTGATATACGACGAGACAAAGACATCCGCATCAGCAGCAGGTTGAAGTAACAGGCGTGTGTGTGTGTGTGTCATGACACACATTTTCTTCTATACATGTGTTTTCTTCAGTTGCAACCTCTGTCCAAAAATGTTCACATTGCGATATTGACAACAGATTTTTTTCCCCTGTTTTTCTTTTAGTGCCTTCATTGTGATAAATCCTTCCTCAATACCTCGTTCCTCCAGAATCACATGCAGCGGCGCCACCCAGACGAGTATGAGATGGGTAAGTGGCGTTGTCACGTAGGTCCAGATGACAGATGGCTGTGGGTGGGTGGCGAGCACGGTCGTCCTCCTGTCACAGGATTGGCGGCTAACCCGCGTGCCGCTGTGTCCTTGAGCAAGACACTTAACCCCATCGTTGCTGATGGGCAGGTGGCACTGCGTATGCTAGCTGTTGTCATCAGTATGTGAAGGGGTAAATGATGATGTTAAAGCACTTGGAGTGGTCAGAAGACTAGAAAAGTGCTTTACAAGTACATTCATTTAACGGATGAACCAAAGGTCAGATAAATCACATGCACTTGATATCGTAACGTAGACAATGTCTTTTCTTCATCCTTTACACCATAGCAGAGTTTCGCTCGGACAGCGAGAACAAATCCCAGATTGAAATCCTCAAATCTGTGATCAGCGGCCTGAAAGAGCAGATTGTTCAGCAGCAGCTGGCCTTGGAAACCAAAGCAGCTCAGGTAGGAAAACCCAGCAATCTGAAAACAATTAGTCAGTGAATTGATCAGCTCATCAGCCAATTTATCTGCTCCTTTTTTTATCGTTCAGCAAAAATAGCAAACATTATTTTGTTAGTACTGAGGATTTTTGGGTCACATTTGAGCGTTTCAACAATCAGTATGAAGTATATTTAAAAGGACAGTTCCTCTCAAAATGCATGTATTTCCTCTTCTCTCTACTGCTGTTTATCAGGGTGAGTTGCTGAGGTGTTGGTCTATCTTCTACCCAAAATAATGGGACAATATGGCTCTCTGCCTGTGGTGAAAAATCTAGATTCTAAGTGCTATTTTCTTTTTTTTTACATTTTGGGGTGAACTGTCCCTTTTAAGTCTCTACCTTAATGCTGGTCCTTGGTGGTTTTGTGTCAACTGAGCACTTACTTTTTCCTATGCCGTGATTCCAGGAGAAGGAGCACAAAGACCTGCAGAGAGAACTGGACCACTTCAAGGCAGATGAGATTGCGCGCATGGACAGAAAGATAGAGGACGGCATTCGCAGGGAGATGGAGTTTCTCTACACCCGAAACATTCAGGCTCTCAACGTACGGAAAGGATTGAAATGGATCAACCTCTTTAGTAGAAGCGGTTTTCTGAGTATGTTAAATCCATGACATTTCTTATTATCTTTCATTTGTTGTCATTTATAGGAAGTGAATCAGAATCAGACGGCTAAACATGAGAAACCGGCCAGCCCGGTTCCCTCGCAGCCGGAGAGGGATCTGGACAACTACAGAGAGACGCAAGCCGTACAGAAGCTGGAACAGCAACTGAAAAAACAGGTCTGTGTGGAGGGGAGGAACCGTTTTCTAATCTACACGACAATGAAACCGCTTCGATCACACAAGTGCTCTTCTCCAGGATAAAAAGTGGAGGTCCAGGCAGGAGGAGATGAACGCCCAACACGAGTCTGAGAAGAACCACGTATGTTTCATCTATTATTTTATCAACTCGCCACTGGGATTGAAAAGTATGTTTTATTTAAAAGTTGCCTAAGCTGTAAAATGATGTGTGTTGAACGCATCCAACACTAATTGCAATCAACCCGCGACACAATGCTGCATGGATGGATGGGTTGTCTTCCAATTTCTTTTGTAAATACATTTTCTCTAGAAATTGCTTCTTAGTTTAAAGTGCCTTTGAGTTGCAAATGCCTTTTGGTTGCATATTTATTTATTTATTTATTTATTTTTATTAAAAGCTGTAACCCATATACCCCCCTTCCCCCCGCCCGTCTTCTTCCAGCTGCTGGACGAGCTGAGCAGAATGCAGTCGTCCTTGTCCGAGCTGCAGCGGCAAGAGCAGAAGTTGGGCAGGAGGCTACAGGAGCAGGAGCACACCATCAAGGCTCAGGGAGAGCAGGTCAACACACACACACACACACGGCGGGGGATTATGTCTGGAGAGGAAGCGAGGCGGAGGGGGGCGGCTCTCATTCAGGATATCCTTTATATGCCGCACGGGCTGTGATTGTGTTGTATTGAGACTTGATGATACTGTATATTACACCGGAAGCTGTTGCGTTTCCTGGAGTAGCTCCACATTTTCCCCATGTGCGCTCTGATACTACAGGACAGAGAATTTGAGGGGCAGCAGACACTCACTTATGCAGTTAGGGCAGTTTACAAACTCTTGTTGTTTTGATAAAGAAGTCCAGCAAATACTGGCCCTTTCAAATCAATCTGCTTTCGTGTCAGATGGCTTAATACAATACGGCACAATATATTGTTCTATCTCCACACAAGTGAACGATGAAAGGAGTTGGCTCAATTTCTCCCTGACATCTTTCAATTTGATTCCCTGACAAACAAAGTGATACATTCAAATTAAAGTGCATGTGTTTTTTTTTGTGTTTTTTTTTAAACTTCCAGATACGGAATATCTCCTCGATTCCACCCACCAAAGTAGTGGAAGTGCCAGGTACGGATTCCTTTTTCACTACTTGGTCGGACCATGTTTTCCACTAGGGGATGTATTCACCATGTCCTGTTTTCCAGTCATCCTCAGCGCGCCCGCCCCAGAGCCCAAACCCAAGAGAGTGGTGCTCGGTAAGTTCGGCGAAAACCCGCCGCCGCGAGAGAAGCGCAGTACACATGACACGTCTCTCCTCCCGGAGAGGCCGCCACGCATGCGCTTCTGTGCGTTACGGATTTCCCCCCTCTCGGCATCTCTTTTTACAACACACGTTTGATCTCATTCTAATGACCTTTGACCTCATGTGCCGTCCTATTAGAGGAGCCGGTCTCTGCTCCTAAGCTGGATCCTATACAGGAGCTGTCAGAAGAGGAGAAAGGTAAAAGAGGCTAGAAAAACCCGACAGAGCCGAGCCGACTGCACGCTGTCTGCATGGATGCATCAGTCTGTTCTGGGCAGCCTTTTTTCCCCCTTAAAGGGCGAGTTGGGATGTTTTTGAACTGCGGTTTGTTTGAGCTGCTTGTCCCCAGTCGGTGTATTAGCTACAATAGATGGAGTCGGGAGAGACGCAGAGGAGTACCACGGCGGGAGAAGAGCAATGTGCCGCCGTGGATGTTAATTTAGAGCAATACTGAATGTTCTTGCCTCTTTATTTTACTGTCAGACTTTCCTTCCTAAAGGGGAACTTAAGGCGTAATTTGTGCTTTCTTCAGACTGCACCGACAAGAAAGTGTAATTTTACTTCACAGAAGACTGGAGCTGCCTCCATAGGTTTGCTTGTTTATAACATTTTTTCGTTTTGTGTTCACAAGTCGCACAACAACCGAAATAAAATGAGTTTTTATGTCAATGCAGTCGTGTGGCTTTAGATAGAGCATAGATAGAGACTAGAGTCTGAATGAGCCATCTTATGAAGAAATAAGTAAAATATTCTCAATGTAGTAAAATATTTATTTTATATTTATATTATGGTTTCTAAAACACATTTTGCTGTATTGTCCTGAGCAGCACATTGCTTCTGCTCCAACCTGCGTCTACTCAGCTAAACACTGGCTATACAAACTCATACAAACCCCACTTCAAACTATCCAAACTTTCCCGTAAGTGTGGACTGAGGTGATGGCGGTCCACACTTTTCAAAAAGTAAGCGCAATGCCTGTGCCATTAGTTGACGCCTGCCATGTCGGCATTGCTGATCATTACATCCATCCGTCTTTTCGTTGCCATGTTCGTGGCGAATGAGGTCATAGACATTCTCCTCTTCTGCCCCGCGGCGCTGCAGTCACATCCATCTGCCTGACTCTGTCATGGAGCTTTGCTCTTAAAGTTGGCAAATGCATGTTTGTTTTTGCTTCATTTCGGCCTTCATGCCTGTAATCAGAGCTTGATTATTTTCTCCTTTTTTCGTATCCATAACTGGCTGATATAGCGGGATTTCTTCCTCAGATTCGAGCAGCTTCTCTGAGAGGAGGCCAGTGGAGAAGAAGCCCGGGCCTGCACCGGAGAAAAAACAGAGGGCTCTTAAAAAGAACCCCAACATCAAAAGGGAGATGCGGCCGGATCTGGAGCAGGCCGTCGTCAAAAAGCTGGAGAACCTGGGAGTGAAATCTGTAAGTTTGCCTCTTTAAAAAGTCTACAAAATGCGATCACGAATGCGACGCTCTGGGACGTTATTTGACTCAATGTGCTGCCGTGTCGACCTCCTCCTCCCTCCTCAGGACCAGTGTGGCCTGAAGGACAAAGAGCTCAGCTCCATTCTGGCCATGCTGCACTTAAAGCGGGAGAGTGTCGCGAGGGGGATGCCCGACTACTGGCGCCAACGGGAGGAGATCGTCAGCACCGCGGAGGAGACGCTGGCCCGTCAGAGGAGAGGCAGAGACCCGTCAGCCGAGTCGCAGACCAGACCCAGAACGGCTCAAGGTGAGTCATCGAAAAACTGCGAGCCTGCTGGCTTTTTGATACCCGAGTAACATCATGTGTTTTGTCTGCCTGCAGTGATGCAGATCCGCCCCCGATCCAGCAGCCTGCCCGCCAGAGCGACCCAGGTGGTGTCCGGACCCGCGGTCAAACAGCCCAAGACCCCACAACCGGCACCGAGGGTCAGGGCCACCGCCCAGCCCAAGACCTCCACGCCCAAGACCGCTCTCAGGACCTTCACCTCCAAGTAAAGAATAAAAATGTGGTTTATTGTAGTTTTACATAAATGACTACTTGGAATTGAAACACATAGATAAGATCCTGCAGAATGTCTGCAGCACATAACGTAAAGATGTGAATGAAACCACAGTACAATCACCCACAGAGGCAGTTTTGCCACAAAGTAGATGAGAGAAGCAGTTCATGTAGTAGTTTAGAGAATTGTAAAGGTGTCGATGTTTTGATAGAGGATTGAAAACACAATCTACAGTTAAATTGATCTTAAGTGTCCAAAATACGTCCACAGCAGTAAATTACTTTCTCCAAACTGCATCTATTGAAGGTAAATACACAGACTATGGGAAAGTGCCTCATACAAACCCCTCTACGAACTCTTACACTCTTAACATCTAGAATCCTGTTTGTGTGGTGCAACAGGCTGCTTGCAATAAGAAAATCATATTTTTACAGCCATGATACATGTCTAAAAATAGAAGATAATATGTGGCCAGGTGCTGGTTGTGATTTACGTTTATATGGCTTTAATAAGAACAAATTGTCAGACTGCTAGAAACCCCCCCCCGTCTCTGTGGTTCTCAAGGACCCCCCCTTTCAGCTCGGATGAGGAATCTGAAGAAGAGGATTCGGATGTCAAGGAGGAACGTCACCAAAAACCCCAGAGGGGCAAATCGCCTCAGCCCAGACTAAACCAGGTCCAAATCCGACCTAGCAAAGCCAGTCCTGTCCAGTCCAGGCAGACTCAAGCCAGGCAGTCCTTCACCTCCGGCCCTCAGCAGGACTGGGGCCCAGCGGGAAATGTCACGAAGACGGCAGTCGCCACGATGGAGAGCGACGAGGACGAGTGGTCGGAGGTCAGCGAGCTGCAGGAGATCGACCCTAAGCGTCTGCAGAGCTTCAAAGACCAGAACGGCAACGTGGACAAGAGGAACTTTGGCAAAGGCAAGTTTCCTTATTGTCCAAACTGCGGGCACATAATAAAGTCCTTTTCAATCGTGGTAGGTACTCTGCTTCTGTGAGGTAAAAGAACTCACTGAACTACCATTTTATTATTTAATCTTGTTTGATAAATCTGTTTTAATGCATTGTTCATTTTAATTCTTTTAGAAAGCAAAATCAACAACCTGGCTAGAAAGGTGGAGAAGCAGTTCTCAGAGAGAACAATAACGAAACCAGCAGGGGGCATCAGCATCTTACCGGAGAGGAACGATGAGGTCCAGGAGCTCACGGTTAGACGCGCTCAGCGATGTAAATCCCAGGCCTTTGGCTTCCAATGCTGCCTGCTCATTTGATGTGTGTGTGACAGTTCACAGACCTGGAGGAGAGCAGTGAATGGGCGGTGTCCTCCTTAGAGGACAGACGGGAAACGGCCAGACCGTTGAGGAAGAGCTTGGACTCGCCCAGCACCAGCGTGTGGGGAACTTCCACCGGGAAAGGTGTCAAATCAGGTGAGTCCCAGAAGTAACACCGAGAGGTAGCACGTCTCTGACACGCAGAAGAGGTTCTGATGTAGGTCTGTAAACCAATGAATCAATAATGCATAATGGGAGATGACCATTTATTATTTCACCGGCGATATATTCTTTAAAAAACAAAATGCATTCCAAGACGTTGCTTCCCGTGGCCTAATGAGGTGGTGATGATGATCATTATTTCCTGCCCGTGTCTGTGAAGCGGTGCAGTAAACTCCGCCTTCTTCTGCCCGGCAGGTCTGACTGGCGGCGGAACAGGAAGCACCCTGAAGAGCAGCATGTGCTCCCTCAGCGACATCAGCGACTCCGAGGACATTAGCAATAAGTAACCGCAAGGCGACATAGCAAGCACAGACACAAAGACCTCAATAAGCCCAGGTGACACCTCCAGTCTGTGATTCACAGTCCGGTTTTATTCTGCTATAATACAGAGAGAGCAATACGTGGAAGGAAGACCGTCTTCTAAATATGATAGTTAAAACACAAGTGACACCTTTAGCCTGGAACCAATGCTTTGATTGCCTTAGACCTTTTAACCGATCAACTTTTATATTTCTTTTCTTCCCTTGGGGTTATATTCCAATGAATATATACGACACTCCAAACCAGATGCTGTATGTAGTATGTGTCAAATTTTTCTACACCAAATTGTATATTGCCTTCACGTGTGAAACCGAGCAATGATCTCATTTTTGTATGATAAATATTTATACGAGCAATAAAATCTATTTCTATGTGGAATCCACTTTAAAAATTGTTACTTGAAACATTCCGCGAGGCGAATTGTGAAGGTTCTTTTTCTTCAACCAAGCACAGTAACCAAGAAGTTTTATCTACGACAGATTTGATAAGGTTTTTTCTGCACACCTCATGTTTAGGAAAAATTAAGACTGATTTTCAGAAGGCTAGAGGTAATTTTGAGAGCCCCTATAAAATTGTGAAAAACTAGGAAAACGTGATATCTAAAAATACTATGAGCAGATTTACTTACAAAACATGTAATCAATTTATAAATTATCATCAAACTAAAACCAAACGGGAAGTAGTTTGAAATACTTTGACAATAAGAGTACAGCTTGCATATTAATTCAGTTTCCAATAATCCATAACTATGTGAACATTATATTCTGTACAGACAAGTTGGCCTCCTTGAACAACATTGATTCTTTTTTGCAGAAGCTCAGAAGTCCTGACACGTTTTGCATAATTAATTCCCAGCACGCCATGCTTTATTCACAAGCACCTTCGGCTGCCTTCCCTTCATCAGGATGGAGTCATGAGGTTGACCAGTGATGTGACTTACAGATCAACATATAGAACAGATCTGGTGCAAATTAAGAACTCTTGTCGTTGTGGCTTCATAATACAAAACAAAGGAAACCTAATGTCGGCGCTGAATTCATTTATTCAATCACTAGATTCATATTTTTTAACTGTTTATAAAAAACTAACTTATCAAAGAGACATAACATTTCTAAAAAAAATGAATCATAAAGATTGTAATTGACTATTCATGGGATGTGTGGCGAAGTCCCAAAACTGACCAGTAATGTACACAAATAAATATCAAATATCACAACCCTGAGGAATGCCAGAAAAAGTATGCAGAACTATGCATTTGGATCAGATTTATAAACAAATATTAAGTCGTACCACATGCCACCGAGCTAAAAGAGATCATTATGTTTCATGTGTCTTTTATGCAAAGCCTTTCAGCCGACTATAACAAAGCAGATGGAAACAAATCAAAGGGTCAACTTAGCGGATGCCCCACGATGAAAGGCAAAGCAAGATAAACCAACTTAATTCAGGATCTGGATAACCAAGGTTTGCTTTAGTAACCAAATTGACATTTACATACATGACTTAATTATAGGAACAGTTTGTGAAATTGGGAAATATGCATTTCTTTTTTTTCTTGTTAAACAAGAAGATAGATACCACTCATGACTATACGCAAGATGTGAGGCTGGAGCCGGCAGCTGCTTAGCTTAGCATAGCTTAGCTTTAAGATTATAGGCGTAGCGGTAAACAAAACCAATGTGCAAATTACAAATCTTCTCCTGTCAAACATTTGACAGGATGATAAGTGGTACAGCTGGATGTCATTTTAAAAAGGTTTGAACCTAAAACAAGTTTTAACGTGTTTATAAGTGAGCTCTAGAGATGCAATAAGGTCCAGTCTTTATGCTAAGCTAATTTAACAGAATACTGGCTCTTGCTTCGTATTGAACGAACAGACATCAGTGGTATAGATCACCTAGTTCTGAACAAGAAAGCAAATCGATACATTTCCCAAAATGTCAAACCTTCCCTTTTCCCCCCCCTTTTTAGTCACTTTCTCACTCCCACCCCGTGCCCCCCTCCCCGCCTGCTTAGACGAAGCTGTCCCTGTTGAACGTCAGCCTGGTCTTCACTGCTTCTCGGCTCCTCCCGCCTTCGTAAAACAGTGGCGGCCCCCGAGCCGCTCTGGACGACGTGTCGGGCCTCCTGTAGGTGCGTCCCGTCCGGGCGGTGGCGTAAGTGGCCGGCCTCTGTGGCCTCGCTGCAGAGCTGTCACTGAACAGGAGATATATATATATATATATACACGAGGGTTCATCTACTCTTTTTGATCCCAGAGCGGGCGTTCTTCTTCATAAACATAGTGAATTAAACTGTAATATTTACATTTTTGGAAGGCCTTCTTTTGCAGAGAAGTAAGTCAGCACGGTACCTCCGGACAGGAGAAGCACCGACCCTCCCCAGCCAACGAAAACAGCAGCCCCAAGTTCAAATCTGAGCAGCAAGCATTGAGGTATCAAAAATAGGTTTCTAGATATTGTTTGCAATAAAAATTACGCTGCTTTAATCATACTCACTTCTGTGCCCTGAAATTTACGTCCAAGAACTCTGATATGACCTTGTTGGCCCACCACGAGTAGGTGACCATACCACAGAGCCCTGCGGGGAATAGGGCCTAAATTAGGACATGCCCTGCACACAAACACATGCGAGGAAGGTTTCTTTACCCGAAACCAGGTAGGTCACCCCTCCCGCGAAGGTCACCCTGGCGTTGGCGATCTCCGATCCGCCGATTTTGGTGCATTTCATCCCGACGAGTGTGAGGACGCCTCCGAAGAAACCGGTGATGACGGCGCAGATGGCGAGCGCTCGACAGCCGTGTAGGAACGCTAGAAAAGGAAGCGGGTGAAAATATAAACCTTTTACGGGGTTTCTTATAACAAAGGAAAATATGACTTTTTAAATATATTTCTATTCATTCCTATTTTTTGTATTTCTTTCCTAACTCAAAAGAGTTTCAAAATCAAAAATGGAAATAATGTCTTAAAAATAATTCTAACCATTCTCCTACCAGGCAGGGCCAGCATGGACGGGTAATCCTTGCAGTCCGACACCCCCGTGGTGTCCGAGACGCAGTCCCTCCACAGGTTGGAGTAGTAGTTGGCGGTGGTCAGCACGATGGTGCCCACCTCGGAGAAGGTCCAGTACTCGGTGGGGAGGGTGGAGCACACCAGGACCCAGCCGCACAGACAGGACACGAAGCCGCCGATCTCCATGTACATCACCACCGCCCGGTAGTTCATGGTGAGTCCAGTGGGACTGTATATCCAGATGTGTTAAATAAAGAGCAGCGACGTCCGAGTCGGTGCAGCTTCTCGCCCTGGGAATCCGGACCGAGCTCTCCCTCTCAGTCATCGCTGACGTGCAGTTGTCCGACCGGCGGTGTTGTCGTGTCATCTTATCTTTGATGCGGTTTTGCCTCGTAAGCATCTTTCAGATCCTCACTGATTCCCGCAGTTTGTCTTTACTCAAATACCCGTTCTTATTTGCTGACATCAAAACAGTTGACGAGCTTCCAGCAGATTAACTGGATTTGCACATGTAAAGGTGATAAAATCAGAGACCACAATAAATATATTAGAATAAAAAGGAAATAATTTAATGTTTGTTTTTTGTGGCTAAAACATCAGAAAGGTAAATTAAAAAAACAAGAACACCTTCGTGGGTTTATATTTAAAAGGCAAGTATTAACTCTGACTTCCTAATTACATGGTACGTTATGAGACCTTTAACTCTGCATGCAGTCGCACAGTGAAATGTGTAAAGACCAGTACGGGAACCCACCAGGGAAAATTTCATAGCGGGGGAGAAAACCGATCCAATTGGCTGATAACGTAAGTATCGCTTCAGGTTTGATAGATGTGCTTTGCTGCCGAAAAGCAAAAACAAAACTGTTTATGTAAAAACACCAGCCGCCCGCATGAGGGAAGGCTGGGACAAACAAATAAACGAGATGGACAAAAAAAGTTTAACCTACCACAGTCTCATAATAAACCCATTTTGAAGAATGAAAAAATTAATTTAAATGAAAGTGCAGTTTCTAAGATTCTCGACAGAAACAGGGTTGTTTTGCTTCCCCAAGGCCACATGAGATATCGTGTAACATTTTACAGTCGTTCAAAGGTACTCTGTGTCAAATCGCTAGTGAATTTAAAAAAAAAAAAAAAAACTCAAAATGGATTATTTCACCTTAAACGAGAATGGATTTTCTTTGGACTTTTTCATAATTGTTTTCCATTAATCCTGCCATTAAATGTTTTCAGTCCACCTTAAAGTCGGTCATTTATCATTCATTGTGAGTTTGTTGTGTGCATCTTGTTACACCGTCGCCAAAGATAATCTCAAACTAAGTTTTGATTCATTTTTATTCTGTCCATGACACATTGGATCAAACATTATATATTATATCATGTGTATATATAGTATATTATATAATTAGCTTAGCATAATAATATATAGTTTTAAACATGGCAAAGGATGACAAATGGAGCCAATAAAGCCAGATGTGAAGGCCCTGAATGCCTCCTACCATTTAAAGGAAGTTGTCCCAACAGTGATTTAACAAAATAAAAGCGGGAGATCGTGTCCTCTATGGTGCGAAACAATGATATCAATGCAGAACATGTTTACTGTTTTTATTTTTTGTTTTATATGGCTACACGCAGGCTTACCGCTCTATTAGACATGGATGTGTGCCTCAGTTATGAGTAATATTTAATGAATAAAGGTATTGCGTCTAGTTGTGGTACATTACATATTATAAAAATGAACAGTCGGGGCAAAAAGACGTTAAATGAGAAAGATCGGTCATGCGATAGTAAAACACATCTTGCTTTCACCACAGTCACACATTGAATAAAAAAACCTCCGCCATATTTGTCCGTCACATGGTGACTCGCATTAAATCAAATATACGAGTTTTGGCTATAGGCTGAACTTTTACTCCTCGAGCTGCTTGACAACGACGACGCCGTCCGGCTGCTCCTCGACTCGGACAAAGTCGACGCGCTGGACATCGACCACACGGCGGAGCCGGTGGTTCTACTGGTTTCAGACCAGCGCCCCGACCCCGCCGTGCGTCCAGATGTGGATGTGCGTGCCGATCTTGAGGAGATGGCGGACAGGTCTGAGCGCTCGGACCCGGACGACAGTTCAGACTCGGACGACAGTTCGGACACGGAGGACAGTTTGGTCTCGGAGGAGGACTCGGACGCGGCCGGCGCGGACTGGTTCTGCTCCGGGTCCGGGAGTGTCTGGATTTTGGTTGCCTTGATTTTGATCACCCTGGAGAGAGACAAACACATTACTCATACAACAATGCTGTTAAATATTTGTGTTTTTCATATCCTGACAGCTGTTTTTGGCATAAATTATTGTCCCCTGAGGCCCCAATTGGTCCAAAGGTATCAAAATCCACCCTTGAGCATCTTTTAGGCTCCAAGTTTATTTATTCAGTGCAAGAGCCGTACCCCGTTATGTTCTCGTAACCCTTCTGCTGGACACCAGGCAGGTGGTCCAAGGGAACGCTGTTAACCACGACGGTTTCTATTCCTGTTCACACCAATGGCTCCAGGGTTATCGTACAATTCACCACAAGCACTCACGTTGTCTGTCCTCCGCAGAGCGGCTTGCACACCGACCACACGTAGAAGAAGCCACCGGTCAAGTGGAAGGCGGAACCAACCCAGCCGAGGAACATCGGGGTGCCGAGGTCGTACCTGACGGAGAGACGCCGTGAGATGTACTGCTTCACCAAAAGGGATTCAAAGGGTTTACTTACCTCAGGCCGTCAAAGTCGGGGCTGAAGTATTCCACTGAGACGTACTGCGCATAGACAGCATAGCCACATGTGGACATGAAACCTGAGGGGGGGGAGGGTATTGTGTCGATGATTTGAGGAGTGCGTTATGATTTGCAATCTTCTGTTGTAATCTGTGATCGGACTATGCTCTCTTCATGATATAAACTGACATGAATCGTCGTTAAAGCGAGTCATTACCGCTGATGATATGGCACCATGCCCCAGCGTAGATCTTCCGGTACTTCGACCGCTCTTTCCCCCCAATGTAGGTGCACTCCATGCCAAGCAGACTGAGCACGAACCCCAGCACGCCCAGGGAGAGAGCCGCCATCAGCAGGCCTCGCACTATCTGGATGTGGCCTAGAGTTACACAGTCAGACACAAGTGGGAGTCAATATGAAAAAAACAAACAAAAAAAACATGTAATATTTCAGTGTTTTCTTTTTTTCTTCTGCAGTCTGGATCACCGCGTGACCTACCCTCCACGGACCAGAGCATGGGGTAGTCATAGCAGTTGGTGACAGCTGTTGAGTCTGTAAAGCAGGATCTCCAGAGGCTGGACCAGAACCAGGCCACCTTTACGATGGAGGAGCCCCCCATTCCTCCGATGGCGCTGATCTTCCAGCCCTCCATGGCCATGGTGCAGGCCACGAAGATCCAGCCCAACACGGTCATCAGGAACCCCCAGATCTGGACCACGCGGATCTTCATCTCGGGTTTGTTGCCGCGAGTTGATCCCCTGTCGAGATAACGACGCGTCCGTTTCTAATCCGTCACGATGGATGTCAGAATGCTCTTTCTCGTCCGTCCTCTTATTGGTTCCGCGCAGAAGGACGCGTGCGTCCCGGGCCGAACGTCCAATTCTCATCCAAACCCGAACGAGACGAGACGAAGCCGCTGCTCGTCCCAGGAAAAACCCCCAAAAGGATCCCAGGTACAGAACAGGTGGCTGGTGCTGTTGTGTTGCAAGTATTGCTCTACATGTGGGTGAGAGACGATCGTCCCTCAGGTTCTCATGGGCGTCAGTTGGGAGTTGTGAAGTCAGCATTCATCTCTAATTACCGAAGCAGCACCGTGCTTCATTTCCCTCGCGTGCAGACAGTTCAAAAGAGGCAAGGTCTGTTTGCGGCATCGAACCAGGTATGAATTCATACTGAATAGTTTTCTTCAGTAATTTCACTTAAAATTAAAAACAGACAGAGATTGAAAAAAGAATGAGCCAAATTAAAGCAGCAGAGGGTGACACTGCCTGACTTTCACACTCTACTCAAACACTAGAAGAAAACCCTCCTGAACGCCCACGCCACGTCGCCAGTCGGCAAAGCAAGCTTGCGTCCAAAAAGGCCCAAATGAAAGCCTGAGTCGAGATGACATCATCGACTGTAACGTGGCAGTCAGTCTTCCTCAAAGTGGGAGTATTGACGACTGTTGGACTCCACCCACACCTCCACCTTTATTGGACAATATACTACCTGTATTTTATGTGATGGGCGAGGCCCCACATTTACATTTGATGTAATACAGTTCAGTACATTTCGCATGGTTCATGAAGAATCACAATGAGAGACAGGAGGGAATAAATACAAAATATGTTGGCTTTTAACAAGAGATAACAGAACAACTGAGACACAATAATGATTCATTTATTTCACTGTCTTTGAAATGCTAACAATCAACAGCACTTAAATTAATTAATGATTCATCTGTGTTCATCTTTTGTGAGTTTATGTGCTAAAATCTACATATTTATTTATTTATTGTACATATGACCAGATTTAACCCAGCGGTCAAAAGTACATTTGTGCGTCAGTGACCTCTTTTTCGTGGTCGATGAAATATGTAATGTCACTGCTGCTATGACCCGAGCTGCTCAAAACATCATTGCCTCTGGCTTTTAAGCTGCTGGTTATGAGTCGTTTTACTTATTAAACTGCCGTCTTTGCTCAGGTTCTGATTAGAGTTAAATCTGAGGTGATAATTGGGCGCCGATGAAAGGGCTACTCTGTGAATCTCTTAAAGCCACACGTATCCTTGTAGGCCTGAGACCAAATCCTGCTAAATATTTCTTTATATCGTCCCTAATTTCTGTGCCCCTTAGCTTACGCCTATGAAAGGACATGCAGGCTCCAGTTATAAAAATGCCAAGGTGACTTTCACTTGGAAAAAGGTCCTTATTGCTCAACTGTAACAAAGGAAACATTCAGCCATCAACGGCTGCATTACTAATCAAAAAACACAAGGAAATGTATGACTGGACTTCCTTTCATCTGAATGTTAATCCTGAATACTTCTGGGAAACAAAGAGGGGGTCAAAGAAGTCTCTCTGAAAGAGAAAGCCGGCAACTATGATTCCATGCTGGTTTTTCAGTATTACAGCTCCATCAAGTGGCAAAAAGGAGAGGATACTTGAAATTGTCTGAATCCATTTCCTCAGTTCCCTGCTTGACATTGCATGTTGAAATTGTAATCTTGTGAAGTAAAGCGCAGCTTAGCATTGGCGTGGTAGCATCATGCCCTGTCTCACTACTGCTACTACAATGTTTGTTTGTTTCAGTAGCTTTGGCCTAGTTGACTTTTGTGCTGCTACCAGTTGATGTAACAAAGGGATATTTAAACATCTATCTGTAGCATTTCCCATGCATTTCACCACCGCTGCTTGTGTGCCCATGTATTTTCATGCACTTATATTACATTGTGTTAAAACTAAAACTTTAAATTATCACTTTTTTTATTATATATTGCAAAGAAATACAACACTCCCTTGCTAAATGCAAACGCTTCGCGGGTTTGGCCCACTTAGTTGGTCTGAAAGGAGCTGAAGGTATTAGCACCTTAAGTTTCCTAGTGAATATGAAGTTCCTAAAGAAGACTGACATCCGTTGTGTGGCTGGAATACGTCTCAAAACACGGAGTCGGCAGTCTTGCACTTTCAGTTCCCCTTGAAGGAATGTTTTTTTTTAAATTTATACCTAATTCTGTTTCTTTCGTCTGTAAATACCCCTCTCGAAAACGTTGAGGCATATGCGTCTTTAAAAAGAATGTCACTAACAAGTGGCTTTACAGCCTGGTTGTGTATACTTGCTATCATGGGAACATTGTGTTTATTAACAAGATTATCTCACTGAACAAAAATATTACAAACTTGTATTATAAACTTGTACTTGGATCATTGCAGAAACTATTTTCTGCAATGAAAGGAAAAAAGAACATACTTTTTTTTTTAAATGCTCCATAAAATGAAGCACACTTCTAAAAAAAAAGCCCCCCCACACTCCAATATAATAATGTCTTACGCTATATGTATGTGTTCTTAGTGAATTTAACCTATTTTCTATTTTATCTGGGTTTGTTTTCATATTTTATTCCGTGCTGTTGCTCTTTGTTGTCTTAACAGTTTGCTGTGTGATTTGATAAAATGTTTGTTATAGGACGACGTGATCACATGAGCAGAAAGAAACCACAGAACAAAAATGAAAACAGCTGCGCAGGTCTGATTTCTGAGCTATACGACACTGAAAGGCCGTAATGAACCTTCATGTAAAAATGTAACAATTGGAAATTTAAAAAATAACCAGTCCTCTGAGCGGAACGAGGCAGCCAAGCCAGGTGCTAATGAATTATTAGAGACAGGTACAGTGTTCCCGCCGCCAGCGCCCCTGGAAACCTCAACACGTGTTTTTAGTGTGTGCAATTGACTGGAAGGTGCCGAGAACATCGTTAGGTAAATCTCTAGATATTTGTCCAATACGTTGAACAAATACATACAAAACTACTCTCAGCATCAGCTGTAGCTTGTGTTGATTGCTACCTAGTGAACAAGCTAAACTAGCTAAACTGCTAAAAACTAGCACGTTAGCATGCTGGTCTTAGCATCTAGCAGTGGTACAGCTCAAAGTTTGTTGGAGCTTTGGTCAAGTTTTCATTTAACTAGAAGTAGTAAAATGTGGACGTTATGTCTCACATTTAGTCCAGCTTCAAAGTCTCATTCTATGATTTAGCTATTGTCAAAAGTAGCTCGCTGGCTAGATTTAATAACATGATGTTGAAGCAATCCAAGTTGAATTTTGGGATCAATGGCTACGGCTTCCCGACCTCTCCTTTCACCTCTGAATCACATCTTCTATTTGTTTTATGCTGTTGGCAAATGTAAAATCTGCACCGTAATGTTGTATATATTGACATTTCCACGCTGTTGTGCATTTACTTTCCTACGGAAAGCTACTCATACGTGTGTTTTAGTGTGCTAACAGCTTAAGCTAGGCTGTTGCTAACTTACAACAGCCTACATCTTGTCAACAGCAAATTAAGTTAAACAATTAGTAGGCCTATCAAAGGAATGGCTAAAGCATGGGAAAGGCCAGTTGATCCCCTGCAGTTGATGAATGTTATTGGGCTGAGTTCAGCTGCTTGTGATAATCTCCTGCTGGCTTTTCTCCTTCAGCCCTTTTCCCAGTCGGTGCTAGCTAAACATCAACAGGAGGATAACCCGCGAGGTGTTGGGGCCAGGGCCGCTCCACTCTGTTATCATTAGATAGTCAATGCCAAGATTGTAGTTTAGCCTGTGTGCATGTGACTGGATTTATTTAATAGTTTCCTTGAACATTGTAAAGGGAGTTTAATGCAGTGAGGCAAGGAAGGCCTTTTTTGAAGTCCTTTTTGTTTTACCACTCCCTCCCAGGTGTTTTTGTCAGTATAGTTAACGATAAAGTTTCTTTTGTTTCATTCTTTTGAGGTTTTTTCTGTGCCGATGTGAGGGTTTCGGGACAGAGGATGTACAGACTGTAAAGCCCTCTGAGGGAATTTGATATTTTGGGCTATACAAAATGAAATTAATTGAATATGTTATGCTGTTATTTCACTCACCATGGAGCAGTTATGAGAATAAATGTTTTATAATAATAAAGAATCTATGACAATAAGTCAGTCACACGCTTTCTCTATCGAAATTGATACATGTTTATATCCTCATCATGCGATTAAGAGTCATTCCGTTTTTACAAGTTTGTGTGTTTGCGCGCGCGCGTGCGTTTGTGTGTGTGTGCGCGCGTGTGCGTGAAAGTGGGAAAGATTCTGCCGAGTCATTGAGATAATCAGGACCCGAAAGTTTACATGGGCACCTTTGAGCTGCAGTAAATGCTGAACCCTCTAAAATTTGAACCATAGAGGTATTTAGAGGCTTTGAATGTCACAAACTGCTATATAGCTGTATTGGTTCCACTCTTTAATGTACCAGTTGAAATATAACATATAAAGAATAACCCTTTTTTTACACGTTGTGTCAATTCACTCGTGTGATCGTGACCGTATGTTTACTCTCATTTTTTTTTCAGCCAATCACGGAGCCCGCGGGGCGGGACCTCCCGACCAATTCTACGCCTCAGAGCACCGGCAGACACGTGAAACGACAACGCGGCCCGGAGACGTTTCGGCTCGGGGGGAAAAGTGGGAAACCGCCTCGCCGGTGGGGGCCACCATGGGAAAAGTCAGCAAAGACACCAGGACCAACCCGTCAGCGACGGCGGGCCTTTTGTCCAAAGTGTTCTTCTGGTGAGTCGACCGGACGCCGCCGCGCGGGGACCGCGGTCCGCTTCTGTCCGCGGCCGATTCGAAGAGAAGCGGCTCCCGGCTCGTTTAACGAACTCCTGAGTTTATTTACCCTGAGTTTGGAAACACCGAGTTTTGGCTTTCAGAAGAGCTGTTCAGAGTAGGTTGGACTCAGAGTTGAGCGCGTGCACCGGCACAGCGTGAATGAATGGAGCCGCGATACTACGCGTTAGCATGGAAACGACCACAAACAATCGGAGCTGGGAATATTAACGCAAGCGTGCGGCGACTACGAACCCGCAATAAGAAAAAACCTGCTCGGGTCAATGCGTGCGTTCCAATATAGTGTGTTGTCAGTTAATATTTCATGTACACACTAATCACAATCCATACGTTTGACTAATTCTCAGTTGTTACACTGTGTTAGAAATCTGCATACAGCAGCTTTACTAATATTCTAATGTTGTAAAGCAGAGGTCTCAAACTGCGGCCCGCGGATAGCTACATTCCAAAGAAAATATATTTATTAAAACATCGCCGCAACCTGTCGAGCAAAATGACAATGATCAGGTTTTCCTGATGTTTTCTTTATTAAATTGTACAACGTCAGCGGCTGGGAAACGTTTTGGTTCAGGTTGGTGGGCGCATCGTGGAACACTTCCAAACATATTTGTCGATGCTTTTGCCAAACACCACCGACGCATTTTAACAAAAATGCTTTTGCGCCGATTTCACCATGAAAATACTATAATATATAATTTCTAACACTAAGCCACGTAAAAATGTTCCTTTCGCAAAATGAAGAGATGGACGTA